TTGATAAAGCAGTAGCTGAGTTTGAGAAGATGGACTCTAATTCTGAAAGACATTTATTCTACTGTAGGTCAAATGCTATCAAACAGCATCATGTGCTACAGATAAATCTTTCATGAAAGTAAGAGTCAATTGATGCAGGAAACTTCATTAAGAAATTGCCACAGCCACCCAGCCTTCAGCAACTGCCACTCTGAACAGTCAGCAGCCATCAATACTGAGGCTAGACTCTCCATCAGCAAAAGATTGACCCGCTGAAGACTTAGATGATCATTCGCACTATTCAGTAATGAATTACTTCAAAAGTAAGATACGTGAGAAGCTCTCTGGTGAAAGTTAAGGTATGTACATTTTTTAGATATAATGCAATTGCACACTTAATAGGCTGCAGTATAAACATAATTTCTAAAGCACTGGGGAACCAAACTATTTGTGACCATTTTGATATTCACTTTATTACAGTGGTCTGGAACTGAAGCCGCAATCTCTGTGGTATGCCTCTACTTACATGCTATTTGTTTTGAAACCACTCCATGCAAGGCATCACACCTGTGCACATTGTACTCTTAAGGTTTTGTGTGCTGTAGAATGAAAGCAACTGTGGTCTATGCATTTATGTTTTCCCTCTTAATGGCTGTTCAGCCTTGTAGAGTCTCTATAGTGGCAAAAACTACTTTTATAATATGAATGCCAAAATATTTTGAACTTTTTGTGCTTTGGGTTTTCTTTTTTTTTTTTTTTTGAGATGGAGTCTTGTACTGTTGCCCAGGCTGGAGTGCAGTGGCACTATCTTGGCTTACTGCAATGTCCACCTCCTGGGTTCATGCGATTCTCCTGCTTCAGCCTCCGGAGTAGCTGGGATTACAGCCACACCCGGCTAATTTTTTTGTATTTTTAGTAGAGACGAGGTTTTACTATGTTGGCCAGATTAGTCTCAAAACCCTGGCCTTGTGATCCACCTGCCCGGCCTCCCAAAGTGCTGGGATTACAGGCATGAGCCACTACCCTTGGCTTGTACTTGGGGTTTTCTTAACTTTTTTTTTTTTTTTTTTTTTGAGACGGAGTTTCGCTCTTGTTACCCAGGCTGGAGTGCAATGGCACGATCTCAGCTCACCGCAACCTCCGCCTCCTGGGTTCAAGCAATTCTCCTGCCTCAGCCTCCCAAGTAGCCAAGACTACAGGCGTGCACCACCATGCCCAGCTAATTTTTGTATTTTTTTAGTAGAGACGGGTTTCACCTTGTTGACCAGGATGGTCTCGATCTCTTGACCTCGTGATCCACCCACCTTGGCCTCCCAGTGCTGGGATTATAGGTGTGAGCCACCGCGCCCGTCCTTAACATAGATTCTTATTAGTGAATCCCTAATAGGACCAGTCAGATAACCAGCATCACTGTCAAAATCTGGCACTTGGCCTAGTTTGTTGTTCTTTCTTGCTAAGAACACCTTGGGTTGAGTGCAGTGGCTCATGCCTGTAATTCCAGCACTTTGGGAGGCTGAGGTAGGAGGATTGCTTGAACCCAGGAGACTGAGGCTGCAATGAGCAGTGATGGTGCCACTGGACTCCTGCCTGGATGCCAGAGGGAAACCCTGTCTAGAAAAAGAAAGAGAGCAACCTGATTTTTCTTCAGGGAAATGCCACTTCTCAGGTCAGTACATTTTCATTTCAAAGGCAAGGAGTGCTTAACTAGGTTGATCTGTGTATTCTACCCTCTCCCCCAAAGAAATGGCAATGGGGCTTCAGTCATTTGCAATGGAAAGATTCCTGACTGAATTTTCTGTCTCAGTTGTCTTGGGGTTAAAAGCATTAGTACATAGGCAAAGAATCCACATTCCCAAGTATCTTGCAGGGAATGTGTTAAAACAGCCTTTCTTCTATACCACATGTGAAAACATGGGAAAATAATTTTATTGAATGTTTAACCTGCAACTAACAAGGAAAGATTTTTTAGGACTCAAATTAGGACTTAAGTATTCCAATTGAAAATTAAGGAAGCAAATAGGTTGGCCCCATACTGGATCTGTTAAAACATCCAGTAGTAAACTTAAAAAATAGTACTCCCAGCACTTTGGGAGGCTGAGGTGGCAGATCACCAGGTCAAGAGATCAAGACCATTCTGGCCAACGTAGTGAAATCCGTCTCTAGTAAAAATATAAAAAATTAGCTGGGTGTGGTGGTGCGCGTCTGTAGTCCTAGCTACTTAGGAGGCTGAGGCAGAATTGCTTGAACCTGGGAGACGGAGGTTGCAGTGAGCTGAGATTGCACCATGCACTCCAGCCTGCAGCCTGCAGCCTGGTGACAGAACGAGACTCTGTCTCAAAAAACAAAAAAAAAAAAAAGAAAAAGAAAAAAAGGAAAAAGTAATTCTCAGAAATTACAAGAATCAAAACCTTTCAAACTTTGTAAGTGGAATTAACATAGCTAAAAATTTTAAATGACTTCCTAAAGTCCCTACTCCGTCTTTCCCACTTCCCCAAATAAGTTCCAGACAAGTAGAAGTTCTCATGGCATCTTTGATTCTCCTACTCTGGGAGTGGCTGGTGTGAGGCAGAATAATCCAAGATATTTGCCATTGGCTTTCCTTTCTGTCAGACCTTTTTTTGTTAAATCTTTTAAGGCTGGTGAAATACATCTGTTAGAATTTTTAAAACTGTTTTCCTGTTGCAGCTATTTATGGACTGGTAGCTTGCCCCTGTTTGTATCCATGTCACAGCTGGAGGAACGATGGAGGTAGTAATGGAGACTCAAGTAGTTAGAACTCTGCAGAAGTAACATTCAGTAATTTTTCCTTTAAAAAATCCTTGTGGCAAAATAGTCACAGTAAAAATCGATCAGTTAATTTTTATTAAAACCAAAGCGCCAATCTGCCCCCAAAAATTAAAAACAAAAAGACTACTGCTTCAGATGTCCTTCACAATAGGTAAAACCTTCATGGAGAAAAATCTGTGATCTGATTGGCTAGCATTATTCTCACTCAGAAACATGACACCAGTATATGAATTATGACAGTAAATTCACATCCAAGATGAATATGCAATAATGTTTATAAAAACATTGACTATTAATTTATGTAGGGCTATAAAATACTTTTTAAAATACGTACATGGTTATTTAAAAGGAAGAGCTCAATTTCAATAAGAAATTAAATGGCTGAACTCACGGTCACCATATAATGTTTTGAGACAGTTTTGCCCTTGTCGCCCAGGCTGGAGTGCAATGGTACGATCTTGACTCACTGCAACCTCCGCCTTCCAGGTTCAAGCAATTCTCCTGCCTCAGCCTCCCAAAGTAGCTGGGATTACAGGTGCCCGCCACCACATCCAGCTATTTTTTTTTTTTTTTTTTTTTTGGTATTTTTCGTTTAGATAGATTTTCACCATGTTGGCCAGGCTGGTCTTGAACTCTTGACCTCAGGTGGTCCATCTGCCTTGGCCTCCCAAAGTGCTGAGTTTACAGATGTGAGCTACCGTGGCTGGCATGGTAATTTTAATGGCCAATCAGATCACTCAATTTCTCTCATAACGAATACATATAAACCATAAAATGATTAGATCTTCAATTTAAACCTAAACCCTTTTGTTTATATGCAGCAACTGACTTTTGGGATTCACATGAATTTGGACCAGAGCTCAGCAAAAGGAGGAGTTCCTGTTTTCACTGTTTCTCTTTGGAACTCAAATGTATGTGTCTAAGCACAGTATCAGCATAGGATATTGAAATGCAGTTTCATAAATGAAGCAATCAGCTGTATACTCACCTTTTTGACTATGGAGGTAACCTTTTTGAAAGCATTGCTAACCAAGTTCTACTACATCTGTACTACTGTGTGGTAGTAAAATGTAGTAGTAAAGCCGGTTATTTAGCTTAGAAAAGAAAGTAAAACTACCACGATGAGAGGACTTTCCTTTCCTTTTTTTTTTTAAGGACGGGGTTTCACCATGTTGGTCAGGCTGGTCTTGAACTCCCAACTTCAAGTGATCCACCCACCTTGACCTCCAAAGTGCTTGGATTACAGGCAAGAGGCACCATGCCCGGCCACATTTTCCTTTTCTTTTAGTACCTTCCACTTTCCTACCCTTCCATTCAGAAAAGACAAGCAGGGCATATTAATTCAAAAGAAAAAATGATTGCAATGCCAGATACTGATCTAAAATGTAGTCTGTATTCAATATGGTCTATGTCTGTTCATTTTGCTATGGCCTTGTGTCACTGGTCGAACACCTGGGTTTCCTTCTTGCAGGAAAGTCAGTTGCTTGGCACCTAGAAAAACTATCAGTGAGGTGGAACTGAGTAAATCCTAGCTCCCATGTGGTCTGCTCATCCATAAGCCCTAGCCAAAGGTGTGGTAACGTTCAGCAATAGGGGCCCACTGGGCTCCTGGTCTCAAATCCAGAGGAAAATCTCCCAGAGTTTATGGTCAAAGATACACACTAGAGTGTACAAGTTCAGGTCAGATTTACTTAAATCACACTGAACTTTTGGGGGTGCTTGATAAATGAGCGTGGGTTATAGTTAGGCTCATTTGATGGTTTACTTCTATTCGAATAGAATTTAAGGATAAGATCCACCTGGGCACACAGGTACTTGTAATAAAGTCAACGGATAGTAATCTAAAGACCATTACACAAGGGCTATTTACAGAGAGAAACCGAAGACCTTTACTTTTTTTTTTTTTTTTTTTTTTTTTGAGACCAAGTCTCTGTCGCTCAGGCTGGAGTATGATGGTGAGATCTTGGCACACTGCAACCTCCGCCTCCGGGGTCAAGTGATTCTCCTGCTTTAGCCTTCTGTGTAGCTGGGATTACAGGTAGGCACCACCATGCTGGCTAATTTTTATATTTGTAGTAGAGATGGTATTTCACCATGTTGGCCAGGCTGGTCTCAAACTCCTGACCTTGTGATCCACCCACCTTGGCCTCCCAAAGTGCTGGTGGGATTACAGGTGTGAGCCACTGCATCTGGCCCCAAAACCTTTACTTTGAATATAATTATGTATGACCAAAGATGGTTTTGCCTTTTATTCAGCCAAAGATTGTTAGGGAGAAACAAATACTGTTTTAAAAGGTAAATATGGCACTGAATATAATAGTGACAGTTTGGGGTTCACTAGGACATTATAGTTTTACTCTCACAAGTTCTAACTCCCTTTGTGATGATTCTCAAAATAATTTATCTGCATTGCTGTTTTAACTCGGGAGACAAGTATGGAAGAACAAATTGTCAGATGATAAGATACCAATAACTTATTAGCAAAAGCTCCACAGCTGCTGTGCTAAAAATAAAATACTAGCGCAAAGAAAGACAAAAGGTGTATGCACAGTTACCAAAATCCATTCCAACACTCTTGGGAGAACAAATGTCAAATGCCTCTTTTAAAACAGTGACAAACATTACCATGTAACACACATCTGGAAAAGTGATTAGAACTTTTTAACAATATATAATTGACATATTATGATTAAGACCTATACGTAAAAAATGGGAAGCTATTGCTAACAAGTTATTTTCTTTTTGTATTTTATCTTTAGCAATACCTGAAAACCCAATGAATTAGCCACAGAATACTTTCCACTTTAAGTAAAGCCATGTAGATAAAACCAAGTCGTCTATGCTGAATTTATAAGGGGTGAGATAATGCAAATTAATAGCCTTCTTTCAAGTCAGCTCTTTTTATTCTATCATCCTAAGGAGACAAATTTACTCCAGTTCATGTTTTATAAAGGAAGATTAACTTTGGTGAACTAAAAATAGGTGTTTTGTCAAATGCTGGATTCGTGTATGGCACAGCAATTTTCTATCTTAATCTCGTTTCTTTGACATTTCATCTGATCCTAAAAAAAACAATGAACAAGTAAAAGGAATAAAGTTTTATCAGTTGAACTGGCTAGGTCTGGCCCATGAAGAATATGCTTGCCCTCAGAATACAGGTCTTTTATTTCTCTATCAGGAAAATCCGAATTAAGTCAGATCAAAGACTAAATGTGGTGATCTGACTCTTGAAAGAAAAACATGATTGATAGATGCTTCAGGAAAAAAAAATTCACTATTTCCCCCAACTGCCTGTTCCCAAAATCCCACAACGCATTTTCATTCTAAATTATAGACAGATGAAAACCACAAAAACGAGTCCCTTTTAGAGGAACTTATATTTAATGCCCAGTAGGGTATATGATGAAGAGACCTCACATCAAATACAGTGCACACTGCTGTATTTATATTTTGGGTAGTTCCACTAAAAGCTATACTGCAAACAAGGAGGCTGTTGTAAAAGGATCACCTGTATAGTTAAACCACACATAGACACACAGCAAAACCAAACATGTATACTTCCCTCAGTGGAAGAAGTTGAAAATCTAGATCTAGAAATATATGAAAAATGGCCTTAAAAACCTGATATACCAATATCTCTATAGACAAAAACAAAAACATCAAACGTTTGTTTTCCTGATTTTTCTTTAATACAGTTGCCCTCTTACATCGTAATGTACTATTAGGTGCCTTCTTAATAGCATCTAATCTACCCTTCTGTTGCACCGGTTGGCCTCCTGGGATGGAACTCTTGTTACCACCCATGTTTGTGGAGTACTGTTCTTCAGTATACTATGCCTAACCCATAAGGTCAGGCCATGTACTTCACGGGTAGTGGTATTTCTAAAACTGAATTAGCGCACACATCCAAACCACATATACTTTTCAACTTAAGAGTTCATACAAAGTCTATTTCCTTTCTACAGTAGCCATCACTCCAGATTGTAGTTTAAAAATCCAAGAAGTGGGAAGAATGTCTTCATATTCAATGCTTCCTTCTTCCATCCTTTCTGCCTTCCCTCCATGTTCGTTCTTCCATTCATTTCCTTCTTTATTCTTTTTCTTTCTTAGTGATAAGAGGTTAACAAAAATGGGTTATTAAGGAAATCAAAGTCTAGTAAATGGCCAAAACAGAGATCAGAGTTTTGTAGTGATGTTAAATTACTGACAAATGTTTATTGAAAACAAAATCTAAAAACCAGCACAAGCCAGTGGTGCTGCATGTTATTTAAGCAACTGGCGTTCTTCAATGCTTTTGAGGCGTTTCTTTCGGGGCTGTACAAAGTCATCATCTGAATCATCACTGTATTTATTATCTTCTGATTCATTCCTGAATTCTGGTTTAGGAAACCTTTTTTCTGGATAGAGGTTCTTTAGAAGTTCTTCAAAATAATTTTCAAGTTTTATACCAGCATTAGCTACTTCTGAATCAGGCTGTTAGGTAAAAATAAAAATATGAGTAAAACAAGGAATAAATCACACTTTTGACTTCTAAGATTGTACATATTAATGAGCTGTTTTGAAAAGCATAGCTCATTTGAAATGCATAGTCATTGAACTAAATAGTCTAGGACTAGACAAAGTCTACAGAAGGTGGGCTAAAATAAAAGATGAAGAAAAGTAAATAAAAGACTGACTTATCTGGCTTATTCTAAAACAAGGTGGTAATGGTAGGACTGTATTCCCAAAGATAGATCAGTTAAGATGCCATAACCATAGGATCATGAACCAGGTATTTCTAGAACAAACTAAATGACATATGTAGTACTTAGAATGAGTAACAAACAACAAACCACCAGCAGCAAAAGTGTTCTGACAGATGTTTAGATGAATTGACAGATGAGAAAGTTTTAAATTACAGCTATTTGGACCACATCCTTAGTATTTCAAGATCAACATAAAAAATAAGAAATAGGCTGGGTGCGGTGGCTCACGCCTGTGATCCCAGCACTTTGGGAGGCCGAGGTGGGTGGATCACGAGGTCAAGAGATCGAGAAATTATCCTGGTCAACATGGTGAAACCCCATCTCTACTAAAAATACAAAAAACTAGCTGGGCATGGTGGCGCGTGCCTGCAATCCCAGCTACTCAGGAGGCTGAGGCAGGAGAATTGCCTGAACCCAGGAGGTGGAGGTTGCGGTGAGCTGAGATCACGCCATTGCACTCCAGCCTGGGTAACAAGAGCGAAACTCCGTCTCAAAAAAAAACAAAAACAAAAACAAAAAAAAACAAACAAGAAATAAAGGTGGGAATGATAAATGTTTCTAGGTCAGAGAAAAATATTTTGTCTTTCAATTATAGGCTGTGATTTGCATTTCAATCACCATCTAATAACCCTTTGAATATAAATGTGGGTAGAGTCATCTGAATTCTCTCCTGCATTCCCTGACCTGAAATATTAGAAATTTATTTTAACATAGACCTCTTGGTATCCTTGTAGGTTGACAAGGTGTTTAGTGTAAAATGATTTTCACACTGCTATTCCTTCCTGCCCCATCCCATTCCCTCCCCTCCTCCAACCTCACCTCATTGAATTCAGCACAGTTTTGAAAGATCAATCTAAAATCAGCTACAAAATCTTCAGGTTTTGAGTACATGGAATAATCTTCTTGTAGTCTCTTCTTGATGGTTGACAAATCCATCGGATTTTTAATTATTTTATAATAATCAGGCACCTTTCAAAAAAAAAGATGAGATGCTATAATAAAATAGCTGAATTCTACACTGTCCTAAATACATTCCATAAGATGTACTTATTTGGAATGTTCTCTTTGCTCTTCTCTGTGCTATTTGTCATTAGTAAAGAAACACATTTAACAGTGTTTACAAGTGTGCACTGCACCTTCCACACAATGGTAAAGGTTCGTGTGACTTTTTCCCAAAAGGTTTAACCAATTATATTTGAGACAGGGTCTCTGTCAGCCAGGCTGGAGTACAGTGGCACAATCTCAGCTCACTAAAAACTTTGCCTTCTGGGCTCAAGCAACCTTTCACCTCAGCCTCCCATGTTACAGGCATACACTAACATACCAGGCTAATTTTTTCTTGTAGAGACAGAATTTTGTCATGTTGCCCAGGCAGGTCTCAAACTCCTGGGTTCAAGCAACCTGCCTGCCTTGGCCTCCCAAAGTGCTGGGATTACAGGCATAAGCCACTGTGCCAAGCCCCAATTATTTTAATGAAAAAACTTGTCTTCACATATTCTCTCTTAAATCATCTAGGTTTTCCTTGTTCATTATTAAATAAAAAGCAATTACTAGAAAGAGTATCATTTCTAGTAGAATCTGACATGTTTTTGCTGCATGTACTATATATAGCAAGTGGTAAAGAGGAAGGACTTTGGATCTGGGTTTAATCCCCAGCTCTGCTGCTCAGTATCATGATCCTGGTAAGTTACTTAACCTTGCTGAACCTTAGTTTCTTCATATTCCAAATAGGGATAATCCTACCAAATGCACAATATTTTATAGAGATTAAATGAGATATTTATTAAGAAAAAGGGGGCTACTTTGCTATTGATATTAATAACATAAATGTAATCCAGGATAATAAAAAGCACAATTCAAGGTTACATTCTCAAGTTGGTACTGTTGTTACAAGCCTCTCTTGGGTACAAAAGATCCTTCTCCCTGAAAATATTTATTTCCTATAGCCAGTTCTCAAAATCTGTTCTTAAGAAAGAAGCTATTTATCAGCTGAATTTATTTACTAAGCTGGTTTTCTTCATCTAACTTGGGATTAATTTTTGAAATTTACCAAACTGTAGAACAAATTTACTAAATTTTAAAAGGAATTTCAGGCATTATAGAATTTTTTTGGTGGGGGGGACGGGCAGGCAGGTACCAGGCCCTTTCCAGTACTCTAAAATTTCTGTTAAAGTCACATCAAACTTTCATTATCATGAAAGTTTGAAGTCAATAGTGCATGCACACACATACACACCCTTCAACTTTTTTGTATTTTTGAAGTCTGGACCTATAAATAAAAATAAAGAAAATTTTGCTGGGAGAGATGTCTTTATTTCAAACAAAGTTATTTTTCCAACAACTTTGGAAACATGCCTAAAACTCCTGAGATACAATTAACATAAATCATCCCAAACATCCCAGAGAATAGTAAGTAAGTAAAATAAGAAGAAAGAATTTCTGAGAAAGGAACACAAGTTTTGGGCCACTTACTAAAGTACTGAAAAATGGCATTTAAACTAGATTCACATTAACAAAATTCCAGAGAAAGCATTCTACTGTGTAAACATGCACAAATTGACATTAATACTTACAGTTAGAGGAACAGGGTCTTGAAAAGCCAGGCTCATTTCATGGCAGTAAAGAAATAAAAGTAGGCGCTCACACTTCTAAGCAAAAATAAAAATTGAGATAATTATAAAACAATTCACAGATTATTTTAAATAATAATTTTAAATAATCTCAGAGGTCCCAAAGTGTCAGACTAAAAAAATCTGATGAATACAAAATTATTGATTCTTGGAGTTTTCTTCTCTTTCCCAGTCATTAACTGAACTGTACTACTTGATAATTTAGGGTGTACGTGATACTTGACAGTCTCTATCAGTCTCTATAATTAAATGTACTAAGACAGTATCACTATAAACCCATTTGAAGTTGTCTAACAATAAATTTATACTTATTGCCCCAGTCTATTATAAATTACTAATAGTCAATAAAGGAAGAACCTATGTCTCTTAGGAGAACCGGAGGTGGAGCCTTCTCAATGTGCATCTAGACTTAAGGCACCTCTTGCATGTAGAAGGTCCAACCATGTGCTCTGCTATTCATACTTCCCTGCTTATGAATTTATCCCAGTAAACACTGAGTAGTACTGGCAGTGAATGGGTATGTGCCCTCTTGCACAACAACTCCCATACTATTATTCTACTCAATAATTTAGCAAAGGAGTTTCTTTGGTAACAAAGTGTTGACTGGGTAGCTGTCAATGTTATTTACAGTTAAATATATCAGGTGGCTTTGATGCATAAACCTAGTCCCATTCAGTTAAAAATAAGGAATTATTTCCAGGAAGAGTGAAGAAAAAACCCAGCGCCTTGGTGGCAATTCTGAGGAAAAAACTTATTTATGGTAGAAATAAAACAAAATAGAAATTTACTTAAGGTAGATTAAATTTAAAAGTCAAGGTACATGTTCCATCATCTTCAGGTATAATAAGCTTCTATAAAATACATGCATAATTCTATGATTTTTTTTTAATTTAAAGAAAGTTTGTCTTTAAGATTCATGTACCTTTGTGAAAAAAAATACACCTAAATAAGAGGATCAGTATAAAATCTGATTGGATAGATAATACACCTCTTTGATGAAAGGCACCACAGTAAAATATTGCACTACAATACAATAATGCATCTTACCAAAAAAACTGTCTAACACTTTAGGTTGGAAATGCTCGAAGACTTACCCTTTTATCTATAGGTGTTAATTTAACAAGGCCTTCAGTTTTCCTTTTTTCTGAGTTGTGACTGGGAGCATCACAATCATATTCAACTTCTGGTTTAGATAAGTCTCGGCAGAAAGTGCAAATCCACTCTCCACTGTTGGGGGACAATGTACTTTTGAATTCCTAATGCATCATTTCCTCTCTTCACTATTTCCCTTTCCCACCTCCTCCATTATATCTATGATACAGAGTTGTTTATTTGGCATGAATTTTAATCATGAGCATTTACCACAGACCTACTAGGTATACTGCACCGTGCTGAAAGGAAACAGCAGAAATATAATGCAAGGCTCTAAGTTAATATCAAAATCTAGTTAAGAAGGCATGAGATACATATATGGAAAAAAGTGCCTAAATAAATTAACACATTAATCTAGGGCTCACATATCTAGGGCATAATTGAATTTGTCCCCCCAAAGGATTCAGGAATCAGCAAAGCTCTTTGTACTGTTCTTGTTACTCTAAGTTTATAGAATTAAATTTTCAAAAGTACAGCCTTCAAAGAACTGAGATCAACCCAATGGCTCTTAACCATCTTGGTCATGCTGATGATCATGATCATCACACAGGGTTTGAGAATTTACTTGAATTACTTATGAATGATATTTTAATGCCTGGCAAAAATATGTAATAAACTGTGGTAGCTGTTATGCATAAAGACATTATTCCTTATGGTGACCCCCTGTGATAATTTAAAGGGCCTGTTTTTCTTTTCTTATATTGACTAAGGAGAGGGTCTTGCTCTGTTGCCCAGTCTGGAGTGCAATGGTGCAATCACAGCTTACTGCAGCCTCAACCTCCCAGGCTCAACCAATCCTTCCACCTCAGCCTCCTGAGCAGCTGGGACTACAGACATGCACTACCACACCTGGCTAAGTTTTTAAGTTATTTGTAGAGACAGGGTCTCCCTATGTTGCTCAGGCTGAATGATTAGGTTTTGGAGAGAAGCACAAGGAATAAGTGGTAGGTAGGGTATAGGAAACTCTAGATTATTCATTTGGATTTTGGAATATACATTTGTGCCAAGTGGAATTTATGTTTTTACAGAGGCTTTCTGTTAAAATAATCTTCAAAAGTTTATAGTAAAACAATGTGGGAAGGAAGTACTATCCTACCTTGGAAAATTTGTCAGTGTGGGCACATGACAAGAAAGATGGAATACTTTGGGGCACTTTTCACAGCACAGGAGTTCCCCTCCGTTTTGACAAACTGCACACCAGTCCTCATTTGGGTCATCCTCTTTCCTTGTCTCTCCAACGTGAAGGGGTGACTTCTGGGAAGGATCCAGCCACTCAGACTTTCCATTCGAGGAATTCTCCTGCTGAAGTCCAGGTTGATCTCCTGTACTATCAGGGGCATCTGATCTTAGCACAGTCTCCTCAGAAGTAGAGCTCTGACTGCTATTTAAGAGCAGGGAGGTGAGTATGCTTCTTGGATAATTGGCCTGCAATAGATTAAAAAATTTTTTTTATCACTACTGCAATTCTGAATTATAAACCACTCTGTAATGAGCACCTGGCTGCTTCAAAAGAATCTTAATGAGAATAGTATATGTTTACTGCTAACTGGTATAGAAGACATGGACCTCTACTAAAAAATATCAAAATATAAAAAAAAACAGTCTGCTGATGGCTACAGAAATTAGAAAATGGGTGGGTAGGGTGGAAAAATCAACCACATGACCTATAAATATACTTCACTGGAACTGTTCATTCAAATTATACCTAAGATAGAAAAATTGTAAGATGAATCTAAATTTTCTGTTGGAGCTCAGGTTGGCAAGAATTTCAAATCAGTAACAAAAATTATCTCCTTCAAATATGTTTTCAAAAATTTCAAAGTAATAAATGTAGATATAGTTAAAGCATTCATTCCTTTGAAGTACTATTTTCAAATCTAGCTTTTTCTTCTGCCATTTACCTCCATATTTCTAAATCATATGAATGTTAAGAATTGCAATACATCTATAATCCTTATTAGTAGAAGATCAAGAGATTAGGTTTTTACATCCTGATTCTCCAGCCCCGTTCTCCTTCCATTTATACATACCCAAAGCCAACACCACCATTCACCCCATCTTTTTAACGTCATTTTTATTAAGCATTGATTTTTAGTTGGTAGGTGCCAGTATAACTGTTTATTGCCAGTATCTATTCCAACTGACCAATATTTGTCTGTACTGGTTAAGTATTCTGAAAATCACAATTTTTGGTTAAATGCATATTCAGGTTATATCCTGATTGTGCCACAGTTTTAGTTACATTTGTACTTTGGTGTTTGTTTATATCATTATGACTATGTAAATATTGTTCACTGCAGACCCCAAAAATGTACTATGACATTTCTTTTTTTTTTTTTTTGGTAAACTTCTTGTTTTTACTAAGACTCAGTAATTACCGTATTTTTTCAGTTGCTTGTTTTTCTAGGTACTTATTTCTATGTCATTCTCACAATCTGCAATAGGAGAATCTCAATACTGCTGAAGTATTCTTCTTCCTTTAGATACATCCCTTTGAACCCTAAGTCTTCCTGCTACAGCCTGTGCTGCACAAGCTGCTGCTGCTGTACTGGGGGCTGTACTTTTCTTCTGTGTCAGATTCCATTTTGGGGATCTTATGTCTTCCTCTTTCTTGTTTTACTCTATTTTTGATGATTCATATGATCATTATCTTCGTGAAAATGAGTACAGAAGAATTATTTTAAGAAATTGAACAAAAATGTATTTTCATGTCTGATTAATAATTTGCCTGGGTATAAAACTCTGGATAGAGAATATCTCATTTTCAACTTTCCAGGTTCCATATTTGAGCCTCAGATTTTAAAAAACCTTTGTTTTTCCATCTTTGCTTTTTAATTTATTGAGAGATTAATATAACATTACAAAAAAAAAAACCCTCCTAAAAGCTATTTAAAAGTTTCTCTCACCCTGCCCACCATACATAGGAATAGTATTGCAAGCCTTCATATAATTACATTTTGAGGCCTGGATTCTTCATCTGATTCTTGCTTCACTATAACAACAGGGAAATCATAATTTTCAGGTGGTCCACTGTTTTCTTGTTTTATTCGAATTGGCTCCAACATTACCACTGGGACTTTGTGTGTAGAATCAGCTCCTGCTGGTTTGCTGGAAGAGCCAGAGCTATAAGTATGAGAGAGAAGAAAAACCATCTAAGAATGTGAAGCTAAATACCTCATAAAAAGGTATAACAACAACTTTCTAAAATAATACTGTATTTTCACAACACTAACTACATCAGCAACTAATGCTACATAACAAATGTAACTGCTGTGAGTTTCATTTATGATAAAAATGTTTTATATATTACCTATTTAAATAGTTAAACATCTGGAAAGATATTTCAATAAACCTAAATTTTTTTAAAAACCGAGGCTTTACAATGAGGCAACCAGATTTAGTATCTTAGAACTGGCATTTCCTTCTCTAGTCAGTAACAAAGTAAACTCTAGGCTCACATTAACATTTTGTCAGTGTCTAAAGACAATGAAATAATCATTTATTTAAACAATGCTATTTAAAGAAGGTAGTAGGACAAAAACCTTTTACAGATATTCACTATGTTCTCATGGGATTAAAGGCAAATTTTTCTCCCTGAAACAATTTTGCCACATGATTAAGAAAGTAAGAATTGGGTTTACTAACTAGGAGGAATTTTCAGGCATAATGCAGGGAAGGGAGAGCAGTTGCTTAAAATAGAATTTCAATAACTGTACATTTATTTATTTTAGAGTAGAATCAATTTTTCATCATTAGAGATCAAATTAGCATAAAACTGTATATTGTCCCTAAGTTTGTGTTTCCATATAATGTACTGTTATACCTATTCATTTTTATGTTTTCCTTGCTATTATGTGAATCAGACATTTCTTATTTTCAACAAATATTCTTCTATCTTCAAAGGTAAATTTGTACTTTAATTTCTTAACTAATTTATTAAAGTATAAGTTATTAAAATTTTAATTAAAAATAGAAGAAATTGTTCAGAATATATTGAGTATCAAAACATGCTGAACACTGGCAAGAGAAATCTAGTTAGAGATTTTATGTACTAGAAAATATGGTTTAGTCAGTTTACCTTCCTCGGCTTCCAACGCTGGAGGCACTCGGTGAACGTATTGGGGGGTGTACACTAGTCATAGTAACAGGTCCTGAGGAGGGGGAAATCAGACATGAAACAAATGAATAATTATGCACTGAAGTCCTTGAATGTTTTAACTTAGCACTATATTGAAACTAGGAACCATAATGAAATGCTATGAAACAGTAATTGCTGAATTTTCAGTAGTCTGTTACAGCCTGTTATACTGGCAGGGTTTTTCAACCTCTGTGCTACTGACTCTTGGGCCAGATAATTCCTTGCTGTGGAGGAATGTCTGTGCATTATAGAATATTTGGTAACATCCCTGGCCTCCACCAATTATTAGATACCAGTGGCATCTCTCTATACTTCCCAGCTTGGGGTGTGACAATAAAAAATGTCTCCAAACACTGCCAAGTCTTTCTGTGTTAGAGTAACAGGGGTAAGACCTTAGTGAGACCCCAGTGCCAGCGAAAGCTACAGAAGACAACAGAAGATGGTACAGGTTGATAGAAAAAGGAGTTCAAAAAAGAAAACCATGTAAACAAAAATGAGACCAACTAATGGAAGACACAAAGTCAGATCAATGGGTTGAGACTTGAGGCGATAATCAAAAGAGAGATTCTGGACTACTGCCCTAAAAATGATGATAAAGAAGCCATGCTCTGGTGGTACTGTAGATTAGAACAAGGAAAATCTAATGAAAAGCAGTCAAGAAAGAAGAAAACAAAACCTGCTGCAAATAATTTTGATTTGAATTGATGAAGGCCCAAACTAAACGGTAGCAGTAGGAATGCAATGCACGTGGGAAGTAGAAAAAAAATTCAAAGTGACAAAAGTTCTAAAGGGTCTGATGAACAACAGGATATAGTTGATAAAATGAAGAGAAAAAAATTCCATTTCATTTGTTTGTAAACTCTGGAGAATTTCATTTAAAAATAAAACAAAAGTCCTGGACAACGAAGACCTGTCTCTACAAAAAAACTAAAATAAAATAAATTTAGCCAGGCCTGGTAGCACATGCCGGTAGTCCTAGTTACTGGGAATGGTAAGGCAGGAGGATCACTAGAGCCCGAGTTTGAGGCTGCAGTGAACCATGATTGCTGCACCCTGGGTGACAGAGTGAGACCTTGCCTCAAAATCAATCAGAACAATGGTTATTTATAATCTTCTGATAATACAAGAATACATGCTTCATTTTAGAATAGCTGAAAACTTTTTATAAAGATATAACATTCAAGCAGCCCATAACTTCTACATCCATATATAAACACTGGTAAGGTTCATATATATCTTTCCAGTTTTAACATACTTTTATATCTTTTATATGGTTGTTTTCACTAAACAGTATACCATGAGCATGCCATTAAAAACTCTATATAAGCACTGTTTGAATAGCTAATTAATAGCTATTCAAAGTGAGCACATTCTAATTTATCATTCTCTTATATTTAGGTCATTGCTTCAAAATTTTAACTACCGCAAATAATGCCCTTTTTTAAAAAAAAAGGAAAACAACGAAGCTTTATTAGTACTACGCTCATTCCTGGGAACATAAGGGGGAGGGGTTGAGATGCAGTTCACATACCAACCCAATTAGGTTTCAATTAGGTTTGCTGAAACCAGGAGCCAATCAGAAAAAACATGACATTTGCAAAACTCTGAAATAGTTGAAGAGCAACTGTGTTGACTAATTTTAAGATTCCTTTCAAAAAGTAATTTGTCCATTATTTGGAAGCTGCCTGCCTTGATTATAGTACTGGGAAATGGAAACTGGAATAATAATGCTTTAGTAAATAATAATATAAGTATTAATAAATATGTTCTGCCTATCCAGTTTCTAATTATTTCCTTATAATTGGAGTATTAAAATGGAATTACTGTGTTCAAGCGTACATACATTTTCTAAGACCCTTAAAGCAAATATCCTACTAGGTAATACATATATAAGGTACTTTGCCCAGTCTGGCTCACAGTCCAATACTGGGTAAATGTAAATGTTAGTAACACTGCTTATGATGCTTTCCAGAAATGTTCTGACAAGTCATACGCATCCCACCTATGTATGAGAGTACCTCTTATTACATTTTCAGTGACTACTTTTATTATTTAAATCTTAACTAATTCAGTAACTTAGAAATTATATCTTGTTTGGATTTTTCTTATGATCACTAGTAAGAATGACATTTTTTTGTCTCATCTGCTATATTGGCTATATGTATTTCCTCTTTAGGGAATTACTCATCATGTCCTTTGGCAATACCACAAATGTTCCTTATTTATATAAACTTGTCATATGATAAACAGTTTATCTGCCATATTGTCCTAAGTTTGTTTAAAATAGGCACTCCCATTTAAATTGTGTTCATGTGACTGGTGAGTTACTTTAGAAATTGTCTTCTTTTCATATTTTGGTTTAAGGTACCTAAGTCCTCAGAAGTAATATTACAGTTTTCCTCTCAGAGAAAATGAGTAGGTATGTTAAGATTCACAAACGAAATTAAACACCAAACAAATCACCAAAAGAGTGATAACTCTACTTATTGTCACTAATAAATTTTGATCCTAGGCAAATTGCATCTTAAAGACCACATCACAGGCAACTTATCAATAAGAGAGAATATAATACTGATTTCCCCCCTGGAAGTACTATAATGGCTGGAAGTTGTGTTGAAATTGAAAAAATAAAGAAGGCCTGGTGTGATGGCTCATGCCTAATCCCAAAGCTCTGGGAGGCCAAGGCAGAAGGATCACTTAAGGCCAGAAGTTCAAGACTGTCTCTACCAAAAAAACAAAACAGCCACGTGTGGTAGAGCAGCACATCTGTAAGGAGTCCCAGTTACTCAGGAGGCTGAGGTGGGAGTGAGTCTGCAGTGACATGATCACACCACTGCACTCAAGCCTGGGCAACAGAGCGAGACTGTGACTTGAAAGAAAGAATGAAACGATAAAGAAATTTAACCTTTGTTTACTTTGAAAGCATACTAATATTAAATAGTGGAAAAACTCAGATTAAGCATCAAACAAAAAAGGAGAAGAGGGGTGATTTTTTTACTCCAAGTAAAGTGATAACTAGAAAACCTTTCACAAAAATCAAAAGAAGCCCACTTTACCTGCTAGGCCTGGAGATGGCACTGATGAATTTGGTGACTGGACCGTTCTGTTTGAGGGTGGTCTTGGCTGGCCATGATCTATATTAGTATCTTTCCTCACAATACTGTCCAGCATAATAGTACTTGAACAGTCAATCTTACAAGAAAAGAAATTATTTCAGGCATTCTGACTTCGCAAGTTAAAAACTACTTTTAAATTTATAAGAAAACTTCAATAACTTGAATATTATGAAACAACAAAAAATAAATACCACATTTGAGAAGTTCTAACAAACATTTTCCCCATAAACAATGCTGAATAAAGGTTTTCACTATCTTAGTATTTTACCTTAGTAAAATATTGAGGATACTATTTCAGAAACAAGAGCCAAAAGGAGTATCAGGTCATTCACATTCTTAAAAATTGAAAAAAAAATTCTTCATTTAAAAATAACAAAAGGATGCTATATGAAAAACACAAACTTGGTGAGAAGACTATCACAATTTCACATTTCTTGCAAATTTCTTTAATGTCTCCCTAAACAGCATTCAATCTATTGTGGTGTACGGTTTTGAATCTAGCCTCACACAGATAGGACTTAGTGGACCCTCTGAAAGGGATACTTACACAAACTGATGCTCTGCTCTGGGTATGTGCTAGATAGATGAAGTCCATGTATCTATAGCACTATCCTCAACAGTAATGTATCATTAAATACATTACTGCTGTTTTGTAGGAGAAAAGGTGAAACCTACAGATTCTTGCTTTACACTGGGCGCAGTGGTTCACACCTGTAATCCTAGCACTTTGGGAGGCTGAGGCAGGTGGATCACCTGAGGTCCGGAGTTTGAGACCAGCATGGTCAACAAGGCAAAATCTTGTCTCTACTAAAAATATAAAAATTAGCTGGGTGTGGTGGCACACACCTATAATCTCAGCTACTCGGGAGGCTGAGGAAGGAGAATTGCTTCAAGCTGCGAGGTGGAAGTTGCAGTGAGCCGAGATGACACCACTGCATTCCAGCCTGCATGACGGAAGTGAGACTCCATCTCAAAAAAAGAAGAGATTCTTGCTTTAATGTAATAGGAATACAAATAACACTGCTTTTCCTAATTCATTGCCAGGCTAAAATACTTACAAATCCCTAATAAGAGTTTAACACGTTAGACACTAAAATTATTTCATGCCTACGAAGACCAAATTTCCCACCAATGTTTTTGTGCTTAAAATCCAGTTCAATTCTTTAACATAGTTTGTATATAATGAATTAATTTCTTGCATATGCACATAGAATGGTACTAGTTATGAAACATCTTTGGAAGAAATCAGAAAATGGTCACTCATTTCAGTTTATTCTGTAATCCAAAGGAGGAATTTCAGGTAATAAAAAGGTTCACCTCTATGAGGACTGCAGAGGAAAAAGCAGGAATATTTTACTTTCTGTGGGTTCTCTTTGATGGGGGCAGGGGAAATCAGGGCAGATGGTTAATACACAGGGTCATTTTTGTTTAAATATTCTTCTGCAATACATGGCCAGTATTTCTCAGAGTACAAAATGTACTAGAATAACTAAATTTGTGAGAACTTAATACAAGGGAAGTTGTTTACATTGTGGAATAATCCTAAAAGCCAAATAAAACTATGGGGATTAGTTGTAAGTTTTCCTATGTAGCATCCATGCATGAAAAAATACATGTACTCATTTAAAGTATACAAAACTATTTAAAAAATGGAATGATTCTGGTAAGATTAACAATGCAACTATTAGGAAATATTATTTGATCTAATTTGAAAAGCAAATTAAATAATGAAAATAACGTTCTTTTCACAATCTAATAGGTAATTTGATCCGAGTAAAGAATACAAGATATTTAAAAGCTTCTTAATGTGTTAGGTTGTGTATGTATATGTGCACGACAGTGGGTTATCTAACCTAACATTAAAAAAGGACCAAACACAGAATCAGCTTATACATGGAGATGTGTCTACAGAATATAGTAATTTCTGCCTGTGGAAAAGTCATACTGGCTGGGTGTAGTGGCTCATGCCTCTAATCCCAGCAATTTAGGAGGCCAAGGCAGGAGGATCGCTTCAGCCCGTGAGATCAACACCAGCCTGGGTTAACATAGGAAGCCCCCATCTCTATTAAAAATAAATATCATTAAAAAATATAATAAATAAAAAGTCATACTGACAAAGAGTTTGGAGAGAGAGTTTAATTTACATATAATATAAACCAGAGGTAATTTTGCACTTGTCAGTATGATCTAACAGGATTTCTATTACTAAACTTGTCTTCATCTCTTCTGATGTCCAGCCATTCAACTTTCCAGAGTATCTTTCCATGTCCTTTCTCTTCTTCTTTCCCAGCTTAGATTCCATGATCCATCATCATAATCATTCATTTACAAACACCTTTAACTCTGGTGCCTTGAAAGACATTAGGTTATGTGTCCAATGTTCATAACCTTTTTATTTTTACTACTGTTGTAATATTCTAAAGGATTAAAATTAACTTGTAAAAACAAACTATAATCTAACAAATTCATGCCCTCTACTACATCCAAATTGACTGACAATTTTCTTTCTGTCTTTCGTGAGACAGGGTCTCGCTCTGTTGGTCAGGCTGGAGTGCAGTGGCATGATATCAGCTCACCACAGCCTCTGCCTCCCAGGTTCAAGTGATTCTCCTGCCTCAGCCTCCCATATAGCTGGGATTACAGGCACGTGCCACCATGCTTGGTTAATTTTTGTATTTTTTGGTAGAGATTGGGGTTTCGCCATGTTGGCCAGCCTGGTCTCAAACTCCTGACCTCCAGTTATCTGTCTGCCTTGGCCTCCCCCGAAGTGCTGGGATTACAGGGGTGAGTCACTGCACCCGGCCGACAATTTTCAATAGAGATTAGTATAAATTTTGTGTCTACTTACATCTGGAAGAGAGGGAAGATTATAAGAACCTCCCACTGGTGAGCTTAAATCGATCATAGGTGAACCAAAAGCCTTTCCATCATATCCTGCTGCACTAGTAATCGTGGGGCTGGAAGGAGTAGAGGATGTGCTGTTGGTAGTTGATGGGACACCCTGTCCACTGCTGATCTGCCACTACAGAAACAAGAAGGGAAGAAAAAAGGCTATCAACAAGCTTATAAAAATACAACATCTAATCATACACATACAAAATGAAGTAGAAGAGTGCAACTGTAATTTACATTTTACATTTAATGAAAAGAAGGAGAATGGGACAGGGAGACTGCATAAGTATGTATAATTTTCATTAATCCTGTAAAAACAAAAACAAAAAAACCCAAACAAAAAACAGTAAAAAGCACTGATTTTTACTGGAAGACAACATGTAGTATATACCAGAAAATCACAGTACACAATCTTGACAGGTTTATACATACTGGAAAAAAAAAAAAGTAAATATATACAGAGCAACTACAAGGTAAAGATGGAGGGTTGAAAACATACATTTCTTCTATCCCTATCTGAAACACTTGAAAATAATAAGCTACAGACCAGTACTTTCAGGATTTTATATTCCTCTTTCTCATATATGAACATAATTAGACCTCGATAAATATCTGAGGAAAGTACTCTCAGTCATGCTGAGATAAACATATTAACTAAGATGATGACCGGCATGCTGCTGTCTGCAATTTACTTCAAAACCTATTGAAAAATATGACGGGCCAGGTGTGGTGGCTCGCACCTATAATCCCAGCACTTTGGGAGGCTGAGGTGGGCAGGTCACTTGAGGTCAGGAGGTCAAGACCAGCCTGGCCAACATGATGAACTCCATCTCTACTAAAAATACAAAATTAGTCATTGTGGTGGTGGGCATCTGTAATCCCAGCTACTCAGGAGGCTGTGGCAGGAGAATCACTGGAACCCAAGAGGCAGAGGTTGCAGTGAGCCAAGATTGCACCAGTGCACTCCTGCCTGGGCTACAAAGAGCAAGACTCCACCTCAAAAAAATGAAAAAATAAATAAATAAAACCAAAAAAAAAAAAAAAAGAAAAATAGGAGGACTTGATGAATAGACAAAGGAATAAATATGCAATAAGGCAAGCAGAACAAAATTAGAACAAATGTTTCCTATATAATTCTTTCAATTTTTGTTATGTTTGAACATTTTCATGCTGGGAGAAGGAAAGTAACTAAGCGGTACTGCAAGATGCTGTATTTTCCAAACATGGTCATTCATAAACGAACAGCGCTATATAGAGAGACAGTGTCTGAAAGCATTTTAATTTTGAAAAACCTAATTTATGTATTCCATTGTAAAAACTACATACAGAAGCATATGAAGTTACGTATGAACGTCCTCTTACAACCTACTCCTTCCTCAAATTCCCCACCCCATACCCGCCACATCCTCCTTCTCTACCAAGAACAATCAGTTGGTGGATCTTTTCAGGTTTGTTTTCTATGTACATGATGAGACTGGAGGAAAATAAATACAAACAATTAAGATAATGCCTCACAAAAATTCTACATGTTTTTCCTCACATAATATACTCAGAAAATCCTATCTAGATGATTGATTTTCTTAATATCTGAAAAGTATTCCACTGTATGAGTGCATTCTAATTTGTTAAACTCATTTACCACTTAAAACCAATTTTCTACTAGATTCTTTCCTGGCTTGTTCACTTACTTATTCATTCAGGTTTACATTTTTGGTCAACAGCCATTTTAAAAACCATGTTTAGAGTATCTACTCATTAAAATATAATAAATAGGGAAGAGATAAAGTAAACGCTTGAGTATGGAATATGTGTTAGGTGCTTGTACATACTTAAGAATAAATTCTCAGCATAATTGGCAAGACACTCATTTTATAGCTGAGGCAAGTGAAATGTAAAAAGTCGCAAAATTATTATGAAAATAAGTAGAATTTAAGGCCAAAGTGAAGCTTGGGTCCTTTTTAATTTCCTTCTCATGATGAATTAAGTATGAATTTTATTTAAAATAATTAAAATATTAAGAAAATTTAGTGATGATACAGCAAAGCCAAATTGATTATATAAACTTATGTATAGACACCAAGTATGCATACTTTTATAATAAAATATTTAAATGATTTTATTAAAATGAATGTTATAGAATTATGAAAATTGCATCATCTTTATTTTGGTCTTGCAGGAAAAAAACAAAATCAGTCTACAATCAGCTGGACAGGAGCTCCTGTGACAACAGAAGCTTTTTAGAAGACAAACACTGTGATAACTTTTACTTTAAGATAATGTAAAACACAGAAAATATTTTTACCCGAAGACATTAAGAATATAAATAATATGGCTGGGTACGGTGGCTTACGCCTGTAATCCCAGCACTTTGGGAGGCTGAGGCAGGCAGATCACTTGAGGCCAGGAATTTGAGACCAATCTGGCCAACATAGTGAAACCCCATGTATACTAAAAATAGAAAAATTAGGCTGGGCGCCGTGGCTCATGCCTGTAATCCCAGCACTTTGGGAAGCTGAGGCGGGTGGATCACGAGGTCAAGAGATCGAGACCATCCTGGTCAACATGGTGAAACCCCATCTCTACTAAAAATATAAAAAATTAGCTGGGCATGGTGGCGCATGCCTGTAATCCCAGCTACTCAGGAGGCTGAGGCAGGAGAACTGCCTGAACCCAGGAGACGGAGGTTGCGGTGAGCCAAGATCGCGCCATTGCACTCCAGCCTGGGTAACAAGAGCGAAACTCCATCTCAAAAGAAAAAATGAAGAAGAAAGAAAGAAAAATTAGCCAGGAGTGGTATTGGGTGCCTGTAATCCCAGCTACTCTGGAGGCTGAGGCAGGAAAATCGCTTGAACCCGAGAGGTGGAGGTTGCAGTGAGCTGAGATCATGCCACTGTACTCTAGCCTGAGTGACAGAGCAAAACTCCATTTCAAACAAACAAACAAAAAGAATATAAATAATAAGCTGTATTATGTTAATATATATTAATTTCTCTTTTTTTGGAGATGAATTTTCACTCTGTCACCCAGGTTGGAGTGCAATGGCACAATCTCAGCTCACTACAATCTCCGCCTCTCTAGTTCAAGCAATTCCTGTGCCTCAGCGTCCTGAGTAGCTGGGATTGCAGGTGTGAGCCACCATGCCCAGCTAATTTTTGTTTTTGTATTTTAAGTAGAGACAGGGTTTCACCATGTTGGCCAGACTAGTCTTGAACTCCTAACCTCAGGCACTCCATCCGCTGGGATTACAGGTCTGAGCTACTGTGCCTGGCCTAAATATTAAACTTTATCAGATATATATGTACTGCCTCTTGAAATTGTGCCATAACTAAGTTTGTTTCCAAGAAATCTTCTTGAGACACTTCAAGGATTCATTTATTGTCCTATTTTGTAGAATATAACTTATATTTGTTAGAACACTTTTATCTCAGGGAATTTAATATACTCACCTAAAAGTTATCCATACATAATTAATACCTATGGCTCATTGTTTATATTGGACCATCACTTCTTCATAAGTGGTTTGATTTCTCTTATTGATGAAGCATCAAACTTTGCAATTCACATTTATTTAATATATGAAAATGAAAGCTTGCTCTTGGCTCTTTATAACCTGTTGCTTAATCTATAAATTCAATGTGATTTCAAAGTAAAAAGTAGCAGAATAAGCAACTGAGAAAAGGAAGTAGATATATACCTGTTTTATGGCTTGTTGAGCCAAGAAAGCCATTTGTAGGGGGTTGGGCTTTATTGCTTGTCGTGGTATATTCTGGTTTGGTGGATATCTCAGTTGTTGAGGATGAGGCGGAAGAACAGGTCCATTGGGTTTGGGGCTATGATTCTGAAAGTTTATCAAACGTGGAGGGGGTTGCTAGAAAAAAACAAATTAAACTGATTTAGTAACAATCTTCTGAAAAACAAATGATAAATCTCTATCTTATAAAACTTTTACAGAAACACAGAACTCTGCCACAGATCAATGAATTACCAAGATTACAAGGGAATGAGGAGTAGGGGATGGGCAGACTTTCAGAATTTGTGTAAACAACTTTTTAAAAATAATCTCATTAGGAAAGAACCTTTGGAGAGGGATTGCCACCTAGAGTTTGTAAGTAGGCTGTACCAGAATTGGACCTAGGCCATGTTGGGAAGTAGGTAAAATATAACTTTGGTATCCTTCTAAGTCCTTCATGATTATCTTTCACAAAGAACTATACTCTTGAAACCTCAAAAAAAAAAAAAAAAGTGATGGCAGAATTATAACTGCTAACATTTACTGAGAAGTTATTAAGTGCCAGCTACTGCTTTAAGTGCCTCACATGTATCCACTAATTTAATCATAACACCAATATTTGAAGCACAGGTTATTTCTATTTTAAAGATAAGAAAACTATAATAAAGTACAGAAAATTTAGTCACTTGTCCAAGATTAACAGACAGTAAGGCATGAAGCTGGGATCTGAACAAGTAGTCTGGCTTAACATGTCTACTCAAAAATGAACAAATCGTTAATAATGAAAATAGTTGATGTTAATGAAACTTAAGAAGCTTTAGATCTTATTGAGCCTGCCAGGCATTTCACATATTATTATGTCATTGAGCCTTATGAAGTAAGTATAATTACCTTTGCTTTGCAAATTAGGAAACTAACTGAAAACATAGATAATTTGAAAAAAGTCACATAGCTAATAATATCAGGCATCACACCCAGGCTTTAATAAAAATCTAGTCTGTGGCCACGTGCGGTGGATCACGCCTGAAATCCAGGCACTTTGGAAAGCCGAGGTGGGCAGATCATGAGGTCAGGAGTTTGAGACCATCCTGGCTAACACAGTAAAACCCCGTCTCTCTTAAAAAAAATCTAGTCTGCCATATCATTACCAAATCATGTTAAGATACTGAATAATTACAATGTAAGAGGATGAGTCTCCTTAGAAGAAAACACATTTTCTGGTTTTTTTTTTTGAGACAGAGTCATGCTCCCATCTTGGCTTACTGAAACTTCCACCTCCTCAGTTAAGCGATTCTCCTGTCTCTGACTCCCAAGTAGCTGGAATTATAGACATGCCCACTATGCCTGGCTAATTTTTGCACTTTTGGTAGAGACAGGGTCTTGAACTACTGACCTCAAGTGATCCGCCCATCTAGACCTCCCAATCCCCCTCACACTGGGATTACAGGCATGAGCCACCACGCATGGCCAGAAAACATATCTTCAAAAACACTCTTTAAGAACAACCCTGGTTGATTACAGAAGGCTGGGTGAAGGAATCAGAAACAAGGTAAGGGCTAGAAAAGCAAGCCTACTCTCTGGGCTCATAAATACTAGCTCTGGAAATTGAGATCAGTCCTAGTAGAAAAAGGTAGCCTTATATGCCAGTCTCCTTTTGACTGATTCTTTCTACAGTGGAAATGTATTGCAAAATAAATATTCTTTTTAGCATATCTTAACTGTATGATCACAACTTCTCAAAGAGAAGCCTATTTCCCCCTACATTCAGAGGGGGACAAATAAACAGGTAATCTTTAAGGTTGAAGCAGCAACCCCTGAAACTTTGACACTGTGAAGGCAGGCAGCTATAAAGTATATTCCAATCTGCTTTATTATTCTTGTTCTTCCTCCCATTTTTGGAATTTACTATCCTCTCCTGGGTCAATGCTTCTCTCTTAAAAATTACTTTGCACTGAGTTTACTTCTCATTAACTTTCAAGAGTAGCCAGCAATTACAGACCCAGTGAAAAACAGATTTAGATGCCGATTTTAAACAAGTGGAATTCTGTAGGTAAAGAGTAAAAAAAAATATTTTCTTAACCCAAAATGGTCCTTAAGGGAGAATAAAGGTAATCATAGAAGTCTTTTAAGTCTTCTACCACCTTCATCCAGACTAATGTTTACATATTGACAACCAAGAAATGTCACTTAATGCCAGTGCAATGTGCTATAGTATGTAAGATGTCAACCATGCCATCAAGATGCTTATGGTCTGGTAAGATGTAAGGTGATTTTTCCCCTACTCTCCTAAACTGTTATGGTTGTGTTAATGTCTAAGAATCCTGTGACAGGGGAAGCAACTTAAAAAATAAAATTAGGAAACAGTTAAAAACCTAAAGAAATAACAAAATATATTATATATGTGACAGTGTTCTATCACAAATTTAGATCCATTGGAGTTTAATGGAATATACTCTATAGAGCCAAATAAACAGAAATGTACGTCTATTGAGTTTGCCTCACTTAGTTATACCACTATTCTACTTTTATTAGCACCCAACTCTTTTAACTATGCAGATGACATGGTTAATCTTCAGAGGAAGAATAGAGAACTGTCATGTAAGTGATTTTTAGAAACAGTTCTTTTCAGTTTACCTGTATATATGGACAGATGCAGAGTATAAACTGCATATGCTCATAGTTACACAGACACACCTGCTGTATGGCTATGCCTAGACAGGTATTTTTCCATATGTACTTACAAATAAGCTGGTAGAAAACTCAACCAGGGCAATATACAAATTTACAGAAGAGGAACACCAAATAGTGAAGAAGTATGAATGGGCATTTGGCAGAGAATAGATAATAATGAGTGATGAGAGGCTAGGGGCAGTGGCTCACAAGATCAGGCGTTTGAGACTAGCCTGGCCAATATAGTGAAACCCCATCTCTACTAACTAAAAATACAAAACAAACAAAAAAAATTAGGCATGCTGGCAGGCACCTGTAATCCCAGCTACTCAGGAGGCTGAGGCAGGAGAATCACTTGAAACCCGGGAGGCAGAGGTTGCAGTGAGCCAAAATTTCACCACTGCACTCAAGCCTGGGTGTCAGAGCGAGACTCCATCTCAAAAAAAAAAAGAAAAGTGATGAGAATGTGAAAGAAACTGCAGGAAATTTTCAAAAACCAACAGAAAAAGAATAGTATGTGATATAAAAACTGCAGTATGCGAAGAGTACTTTGTTCTAAATGTGAAAATTAGGTTATATAATAGAGACTGTACAGATGATAGCACTAAATTATAGAGACTGAAATAAGATCAAAAGAAAATTTCTGAGAAAATCAGGCTAAAGGCTCAAGTCACTTCCTTTTGTCACTGCTTATATAACTATTTTCATATAATGTCTACTAACTGCCTCAGTTAATTTTTTTAAGACAGCGTTTTGCTCTCTCACTGGGCTGGATCATGGTTCACTGCAGCCTTGACCTGCCAGGCTCAAGCAATCCCTCTTATCTCAGTCCTACAAGATAGCTGGAACTACAAGCATGTGCTACCACCTCACCTAGCTAATTTTTTCTGAGATGGGGATGGGGGGAGGGGTCTCCCTATGTTGCCTAGGCTGGTCTCCAACTCCTGGAGCCAAGTGATCCTCAACCTCAAGTCTCCCAAAGTCCTGGGATTATAGGCATGAGCCACCGTGCCCAGCCGGATCTTGACTTCTTAGTGAAAAGGCAATGAATTCAAATGATGGGTTCATTCCTTTTATCAATCAACTACTAAATATTTAGAAGGTAAATATTAATACTTGCAAGTGCTTAGCACTGGGCATTCTAATATTTTCTCGTTTCCATTATCTAGCTTCAGAAAAATTTTAGGCATCTTTGCAGTCTATCTAAAATATGTCATTCTGCCTTCAATTTTCTTAACAAAATTTCTACTCTGCTAGATATACTCCTAGTATATAAAGTATAAAATTATCTTCCCATGGAACACTCAAAGATCTTTTACATTGCTTGCTACTTAATTTTTTTAAGACTATGGCTTGAAACGAAGTTTTAAACAGCCATGCTAATATTCCCTTGGATTTTACATACCTTCTTAGTCCAATTATTAGGATTATTAGTCAAATCATTATAAACCTCAAATACATTACCTCAGACCTTTACATACACCATGTAACACATTCTGGATCTACAAATGCCCACAACTTTTACTGAGGATTAAAGTATGAGTCCCATATAAAGAAAGACCATTTCTATTTTTTTAAATTTCTACCAAAAAAATTGCATTATGCCATTTAATTGCTTTTTCATAAAGAACCATTCCTCTTAGTGCTAGCAAAATACTATTAAAACTTTCTCTCCCTAATTAATTGGTATGTTTTCATTTTATTATTCTTGTTTCCTTTTTGCTTTGGTTGGCAGGACGTTCTGAGCTGAGTTGTCTTTTTCAGTATGAGAATTCTTAGCCTATGTCTGCATACTTTGACTCTTTTAGTAAACTCTGCTTAATTTCATTTGTATCCTATACTGTAAATCACTTCAAATTCTTTGCAGAAAAAGAATATACACAGCCGGGCATGGTGGCTCATGCCTGTAATCCCAGCACTTTGGGAGGCTGAGGCGGGCAGATCACCTGAGGTTGGGAGTTCAAGACCAGCCTGACCAATGTGGAGAAACCCCGTCCACGAAAAATACAAAATTAGCTGGGTGTGGCACATGCCTGTAATCCCAGCTACTCAGGAGGCTGAGGCAGGAGAATCGCTTGAACCTGGGAGGCAGAGGCTGTGGTGAGCCGAGATGGCATCACTGCACTCCAGCCTGGGCAGCAAGAGCAAAACTCCACCTCAAAAGAAAAAAAAAAAAAAAAAAAAAAAAAGAGTATATAAATAAATGATGTAACTGAAACAACACACAAATTTTATAAATTAGACTTTAAATTCCTTACTAAACTTGTATTAAATCTAAGTCTGCCCACATGTAACCTGAGTTAAACTAACAAAATAAAACAAAACGAAACAAAAAAAGGGCAGGGTGCAGTGGCTCACGCCTGTAATCTCAGCACTTTTGGAGGCCAAGTCGGGCGGATCACCTGAGGTCAGGAATTCAAGACCAGCCTGGTCAACATGATGAAACCCTGTCTTTTAAAAACAAACAAAAAAAATATATATATACATTTTATCTTCAAAAACTGGACTGAGGCCAGGCACAGTGGTTCATCCTTGTAATCCCAGCACTTTGGGAGGCTGAGACGGGCTAGTCACTTAAGGTCAGGAGTTTGAGACCAGCCTGACCAACATACTACAAATATAAAAATTAGCCAGGCATGGTGGTGCACACCTGTAATCCCAGCTACTCAGAGGAGGCTAAGGCATGAGAATTGCTTCAACCCGGGAGGCAGAAGTTGTAGTGAGCTGAGATCGTGCCACTGCACTCCCACCTGAGTGACAGAGTCAGACTTTGCCCCTCTCCCCACTACAAAAAAATATCGCAGTAAAAATTAAAATGGTAAATAGTATATTTGCTCAGAAATAAAGTTTGAAAAAGGTAGATTATAATTAACCACACTTTTTCCCTTTTCTATTTCATTCTGCCCTAGTTTCTAAGATGTAATGTGGTTTTCTAAACACTGCATCCTCACAGAGGACAGATTCTTAATGTAGTCATCATTCTGAAGCACTAATATAGGAATTACAGGTACACAGCTTTTCCCATCAATCACAGGGCTTGGGTTATTTAGGAATATAAACATTTATCCTCTGCTTTAATTTGAAGACGATGAAGCGTAGGTAGATGAAAATAGATTTATCAGCTAAATCATTTAATTCTTTTTAAGTAGGGATAAAAACTAGGCATTAAGTCAGGGATCCTTATTGTGATAAATTTTTATAAATGCAGATATTTAGATGATGGAAAATGGATGTCTTTATTATTTTGAGCTGCTCAGCACAATTATACTATAATTATCTAAGTGAGGACAGGCCTGCTTCCAAATTTACCTGATGAGAGATGGAAGGTTGCTGGATGGGCCCCTGCATTCTAGGGTTTGGTAAACCCACAGGTGCTGGCCTCCGTTGCACCTGTTGCCTCTGAGCCATTACCTGTTGCTGCATATGCTGGAGCCGTAATTGAGCTAGGCTGATCTGTGTTGGAAACTTGGATAACTGGTTTGATGATAAACCACTTGGTGGCTGTGAATTCTGTTCCACGACAGGATTCTGCTTAGGCATTTGTGGCTGGCTCTCTTTATCCTCGATTACTAAAGAACCTGATTAAAAAGAAAAGGTTAAGGGAAAAAGTTTTTCAGATAGGTGGTGAAATATCACATTTTGTAAGGCTATTTTTGCAGAATTGTCAAGGAATTCTCTGGTCTCATGAGCCCTTTTACACTCTGAAATATATATCCCCAAACAGCTTTTGTTCATTTAAATTCTAATCACTAAAATTTATAATATTAGAAATAAAAATAATTTTTAAAATTATTAATTCATTTAAAAATAATAAAACCATAACATGTTTTTATAAAACTCTATTATAAAAAATTTGGTAAACAGTGTCATTGTTTGATATTTGAAAAAATCTCTTTGTCTGGCTTAATAGCTGAAATCTCATTATCTGTTTCTGCACTATCATAATATATTGTTAGGTTAAAATATATGAAAAAAATTTCAGTCTCACTGTATGGCAGACAGCACCTGACAACAGTACCTTAAGTACCTTGAGAGTGACTCTTTGCGGCCTAAGAAGAATGTGTGTTTGGAGTTCCGAGCTAAGGAACCCAGGATTTGCCAATGCGGAGATTCATTCTTTATCAATGAAGAATATCTGAATTCCCAGCCCAGCCTGCGGAATCCAGGCCATATCGGGGATGGAGGCCTTTTATTTTGTGTTAAATGAAGGTTGCCACATGGAGGTTGCTAGGGAGAGAGTGCTAAATGCTATTGAAACTACTTGCTGGTGGTTCTCCCATCCAGACCACTGTCACTGGACTATCCTGTATGTAAGTTCCCTCAATAAACCCTGTATCTTGTTTACTGGCTCAAGGTCTCTTCTTGGGCCTCTCAAACATGGCACTATCCCTACCGAACATGTGCCAGAGGTCTGGCACAACACTCATTCAGACATGCAGATGGAAAAGGGTGGCCTTGCAGGTGTCCCCTGGAAGAGTATCAGACTATACTTTGAGAACTGCTGTCATATATCAAAACAAGTAAATCTGAGACTGGCTCTAAAAACAATCCCATAAAGTATTTCTAAATCTTTATTATTAACAAGTTGTGTTCTCTCAAGTTTCCTATACCTTTACAATGCATACGTATTATGTTAACTTTTTGATACAGAATATGTTGACTGGCTTAAAAACTAGTTTTAAGAGTTTAATGGTGCCTTTGAAAAGTCAGATCCAAGCTTGATTTCAACAGTAGAGACTCAAATGTTTATGATTTACTAAGCAAATTGCATTCTAAAAATAGTTATTCATTAAATGTTTACTGTGTGTAATTCACTATGACAGGTAGGTACATGTATATATTTAAAAGAAACAATATCATTCTCTGTTACATATAAGGGATCTCAGGTTTAGAGAGACCTTAAAACTTATCCAAAGTCACTCAAGACAGTAACAAAATACTCATCTAGATCAATATTGCTCCCTATCACTCTTCTCTGTTTCTCAAAGCCATGGGTAACAAGTTTAGAAAACTTGTCTCCTTCTTTAGAGATTTACATATTGTACATGAATTTACAGTGCTGTAAATGACAGGAGAAATCCAGTAAAATATATTGTTTAACTTTATTGTTATCAGTTTCACAAACTATTAGACTGGAAGATCCTGTTTTTGTTTTGGCTAAAGTAGGTTTATCTGAAACTACAACCAGTTATGTGTGTATAGCTTTAAATATAATTCTTAAATATACTTATGTCTATATGTGAGTGTGTTTGCCTATTGTGATGTAAGTATATACATCCCTCCATATATGACCAACTTGTGTGTTTGTACCTTGTGATGGGTTCTGAGTACAGATGAATGCGTGGTGACAGAGTCAAGTGTGGCAACAAGAGTTACTTATACACGTTTTGTATGCTAAAGATGCTTCTTTTTGGTAAAATGAGTGTGTATAATTCCAGTTTCCTGCTATGTATCAATATACATATGTCTGTATCTAAAGTAGTCTGCAAGGGTCTCCTTATCACCTTTGCTTCCAGGATTCTTTTTGTTCTTCCCTTACATGGGTAAGATTGCCTATTTCCTCCTTTCCTAGTGAGTATGGGCTATTTCTCCAGTCATTTTCTTTTCTTACCCAGAATCTAGCACTGGAGATGAGAAACCATCTTTGATGATTCTGAAACAAACACAATAAGCTCCCCCCAGCCCAAAAAAGAAATCATCAAAGGTAATATTGGTTGCTGATGAACAGAGAATGGGTTGCTAAAGGATGGGGATACGTTCTCAGAAATGTGTCATTTAGGCAATTTTGTCTTTAGACAAACAGCAGTTTACTTATGTAAAAGTATACTGTATAACCTACTACACACCTAGGTTATATGGCATAGCTTATTGCTAGGCAGAATCTCGGCTACAAACCTGTATAGCACATAACTGTACTGAATTATCTAGACAATAGTGTAGGCAATTGTATTGTAACACAATGGTAAGTATCTGTGTATCTAAACATAAAAAGATATAGTAAAAAACCCTCAGTATTTATAAGTCATAGATGCAGTTAATTGATTGAGACATCATTATGCAGTACTTAACTGTTTAAGATTTGGGTACTTGTCAGTATGTGTGTTATACTTCAGTTAGTAAGATATTTACATAACTATTACCTGATCAGGGAAAAGAAGAAAATTAAAATTAAGTCTTCCCTAAGCAAGATAAAGGATTGAACCATTAGGTTCCTACTGAATGGTTCTAAAGATAAGCCAATAAAAATAAAGTAGTTTAAAATAAAACTTTCTAGATATCAAAAACCCTTTATCAATGACAAGTCAAGTTAACTCATTCTGATAAATTTAGAGCTAACAAACAGAACAAACCAGATTGGGGGGGGGGCAGTTTGAGGTAACAGGACAGGACACCTAAATCCCTAAGTCTAGCGACCCTGTAATTCAATGTTATGGAATGTTTTCTTATCTGTACATGTATGTGTGTTTATATTCATGTGTATGTGTCACCATATACATACAATACTATCAAAAACAGCATGCCTTTTTAAAACAAAATAATCAAAGCATTTTGAATGTGAGAAAATTCATTTTCTTTAATCCTCCAGTGACAGCCTTCTAAGTAGCTGGGACTACAAGCATGTGCCACTACCCTTGGCTAACTTAGGTATCTTATGTGGAAATGGGCTCTCCCTGTGTTGCCCAGGCTGATCTTGAACTCCTGGGTTCAGGTGATCCTTGAGTGATCCCAGAGTGCTGGGATTACAGATGTAAGCCACTGTGCCCAGCCTAAGAGACCATATTTTCAGTAACATGTCATAATCATGGCGAGTTCTACAAACAAAGAGTACTTTAAGAAATGTATGTAATGGCCTACCTAAGTTGATAATATTTTGAGCCCAGAAACTAGGATCACAGTGAAACTGGATGGTGTTGTTGGTCACTGGGGACGCATCACATCTTGCACGAAGGAGGTGCCGCAACCGGTATGTAATCTAGAAGAAAAAGGAGAGACAACCAAATATTAGGAAAATAATTTATTAAGTGTCCAGTAAATACCTAAAAGCAATCTCTGATATGTACATCTATACACAATAAATAATCATATATAGGTCCAAAGCATGTTAAAAAGTTTTGAGGTGTAACTCAGCTGTACTATTAAACCTATTTTGAAGTGACAGGTTGAAGTCAGTTTTTTGAATTATTAATAAAACTTTGTAGAAGCACTAACTTAAATATTTGTAAAATAAAAATTGTTAACATATCTTAATCATCAGTGGGGATCTAGTCATTCTCCCTCAGTTCTTGAAGATTTTAGTTCTTGGTTCACTATCACCATCTCCAATATAAGTCCTGTCGCAATTTTGGATGATTTCAATATCCAACCCAAATGATTCTTCTTTCACTTCCTCTAGTGCCCAAATACCAATAATCCTACAAACCTATCCATCCTTTCATTCACTTTACCCTTGCCTCTATCCCTCAGTTCATTATCCAGCTTTGATTCCAGCAATAATTTCCTTGCATACATATCTCATCAGTTCCTCATTATCCAGCTTCAATGCCAATAATAATTTCCTACATATATATCTTGTCAACTCACTCAATTACGTATGCTCACTTCACTCTCCTCAACGTTTCCCCTATATACAACAACCTACCCTGGTTAAATCCCACCTTCTGCCTGAGTATCACTGAACTGATCTCACTTCAAACACTTGACCACTTATTTCAGCTAGACCATTAAGGCTGACTAGCTATCATATGACATTTCTCTAGTCCATTCACTTCCCTAACTTTCCTAAGTAACTATGTCCTAATTTCTTTTCTCTTTTCTAATCTCCAGTATTTCCTCCCCCATTCTTAATCTTAGCTGATGTATTTGCTTAGCATTTCACTGAAAATTAGCAATAATCAAAGATCTTCCACAAACTTCTGCCACTTTTCAGTCAGTATCCCCTCCTTTTACAATGGATGATGAAATGTCCATGTTTCTAGTTAAAGCCAGCCTTCCACTTGTGCAGTAGAGCCCACTCTGTCTTGCCTACCCAGTAATTTTCCCATTTTACTGGATCACACCCATCAACATATAAATACGCTTTAAGTTTTTGCAGGGAAAAACAAAACTCTTGACTCCTTTTCTCCTACCATCAACTACCCCATTTCTTTTAAAGCAAAACTCTACAAGTCTCATCTAGGTCCTACTGTCTCTGATCCTTCCCTACCCATTCTTTCCTGAGACCATTATGTTTAGGTTTGTAGCAGTTTTTCACACAGGTGGTCAGTCTGCCTTCATGGAAACATTTTTTTCATTTGGCTTCCAGCACACTATAATCCCATGGTTTTCCCTTGTTTCACTAGCTGCTACCCTTTGGAGCCACTGAGAATAGATTTAGATTCCAGTGCCGAACTGTTTTTAAACTCTCCAGTAAGGGCAGGGATTCTTCTGCTTGTTCGCAATGCACAATCTCAGACTCCACTGTGGGTGTTTTCTTCTCTCCCACACTGCTATGTGCTGGAATGCCCAGGCCTCAGTTTTTTGACCACTCTTCCCCTATATCCATATGTAGTCATGCACCACATAGCAGTGTTTCAGTCAACAATGTACCACATGTACAGCAGTAGTCCCATAAATTAAAATGAAGCTGAAAAATTCCCATTACCTAATGATGTTGGAGCTGTTGTAATATCACAGCACCAGGCATTACTTGTGTTTATGGTGATGCTGGTATAAACAAACCTACTGTGCTGCCACTCACATAATGATAATAAATGACTATGTTATTGGTTTATGTATTTACTATACTACTCTTTTTCTCATTATTTTAGAGTGTACTCCTACTACTTACTAAAAAAAGTGACTGCCTCAGCCAAGTCTTTCAAGAGATGGTCTCAGAAAAAAGATTATTATAGTAGGAGATGAGAACTGAATGCATGTTTATGCCTCTGAAGACTTTGCAGTAAGACAAGATGTGGAGGTGTAAGACTGGTATTAATAACACGAACCTTGCGTAGGCCTAGGCTAATGTGTGTGTTTGTGTCTTGATTTTTAACAAAAAGTTTTAAAGTAAATAAATACAAAGATATAAGGAAAGAAAGTATGTGTACAATGTGTTTGTGTTTTAAGCTAAGTGTTATTAGCTTAAAATAACAGTAGCTTGACTCTGACAAAAGTCAAAGCATTTAAAAAATTAAAGTTTATTTTTTAATTTTAAAGCTGAAGTTATTATTGAAGAAAAAATATTTTCAAATAAGCTTAATGTAGTCTAAATGTATGGTGCTTATAAAGTACCCAGTAGTGTAAAGTAACGTCCTACGCCTTCACAATCACTCACCATTCCATTCACTTGCTCACTAGAGCAACTTCCAGTCCTGCAAGCTCCATTCATGGTAAATGCCCTACAGGTGTACTGTTTTTGTTGTTTTTGAGTCTCACTCTGTCATCCAGGGTGGAGTGGAGTGGTACAATCTCAGCTCAGCTCACTGCAACCTCCATGGTATAACATTTTTTAATCCTTTGTATTGTATTTTGACTGTACCTTTTCTATGTTTAAATACACAAACACCATTATGTTACAACTGCCTAGAGTATTCAGTACAGTAATATGCTGTACAGACTGGTAGCCTAGGAGCAATAGGGTATACCATCTAGGTGTGTGTTAAGTACATCCTATGATGACACACAATGCCAAAAATCACTATTTCTCAGAATACAGCCCTGTCATCAAGCAACACGCGACTATACTTTTTATCCTCAGGTGTACTCTTCCTATAATCCTCCCCATCTCAATTACTGGCAATACTATTTTTTTCCTACAACTTAGAAGTCCTTGGTTCCTTTTTATCACACCCTGTATTCAACCTGTCAGCAAATACCAATGGCTCCATGTTTAAAACATATGTATAGGCTGGGTGGGGTGACTCACCTTGGGAAACCAAGGTGAGTGGATCACAAGGTCAGGAGTTTGAGACCAGCCTGGCCAACACGGTGAAACCCTGTCTCTACTAAAAATACAAAATTAGCGGGCATGATGGCACATGTCTGTCATCTCAGCTACTTGGGAGGCTGAGGCAGGAGAATCACTTGAACCCAGAAGGTAGAGGTTGCGGTGAGCCAAGATGGCGCTACTGCACTCCAGCCTGGGCAACAAGAGCGAAACTCCATTTCAAAAAAGAGGGGAGGGAGGGGCCCAGCCTACATTTCTTTCACCCAAATTCCCCGAGTGTTAACTTATGACCACATTTGCTGCAGTGCTAACCCAGCTGCTCCTACACACATTAGTCTTTTTCCAAACTTTGGAGAGCAAGCTACAGGCATGAGGTCCTGTCTCCCCTAAATACTACAGTATGGATATCCTAAAACAAATATAACTAAATCCCAGACTCCAAATTCATAAACCAATTGTTGCAACACAGCCATCCAGTTTAAATACTTCATCTAAATGCCAACAGTTTCAGCAGTCTTTTCCACGATGCTATCAAGGAATACAAGTTGCTTAGTTGCCTCATTTTTAAATTGCTCAGACTTTCTCTTTCGTTCATGTCCCTGATGTGTTTTGAAGATTTTATGCCTTACAATCTGTAGGATGACTTTTAACCTGGGTGATATTTCCTCCTGATCAGACTTATTTACAGTATTCTTGTCAAGAATACCACACACAAATGATGATGTGCCAGGAAACGTAGGATGTCAACTTGTCCTACCACTGGTGATATTAGTCTTGATCTGTAATTCTGCTACTCAATTTCTTAACCTTAAAGTTGAACAGGTATTCTAAGATTTTACTAATACTCTGTTTCCCATCAATCCTCTACCCAGCATATTTGCAGCCACTGACTAGTCCTCCCAAATTACCTCTATGATAGTAACCAAATGTGCTCCTGTTTATACCCATTACTCTTTCTACAACCATACATAACTTTTTGTTTTGTTATCAACTTCTCCCCCAAATAACCTACCGTTTACTGATTTATATTATTATAAACTCATGTATTCTTATTTAATTCAGTGTGTTATAATTTATTATAGTGACTTGATCCTCAAATTTGTTTTTGGTTTTCCAAAACCAAAATTTGGGAGCCCTTTTACACTGAATCCTGTTTCCTTTGACATGTCCCCATTATCATCTGAGCATTTCAGTAGTTTTATGGTATAACATTATGTTCTGGGCACACCTTTTACTTTTCCCCTCTTTCCCTGGTATTTTGAAACCAAGATCTGGAAGAAGTGGGCTCAGTGCTATTGGGATGCAGCACACCACAATGAATACATATGCACATATAGATGGATACATATACATCTGTAACTATTTCTAGATCTGAGTCCAAGAATAAAAATAAAACTCTAAGTTCATACTTGTACTCCTAATACCAATCCAACACATCTTTGGGCCCTTCCTCGCCTAACTTCTTTCTAAATACCTTCTCTAGAAACTTGGCTGCCATTACCTTCAATATATTTATTTACTTATTCAATTCATTTACTTATTTACTCAATGTAACCAAGATCCAAATCACACTGGCTAATTCTTCTGAACACCTCTGTATTCTTCCCTCCCACTTCACATCTGTGGCTATTAGCTTCATGCCTACTGTGATTCCCCAACCCTCTCCAATATCCAATGACCTCACAGTCACCATGCTGATGCCTCCATGCCAGGAAGAGAGGTCAAGTCAGTAAGATTCTTGATAGTTTTTAATGTTAATATATAGATAGATACACACACACACACCCACACACACACACACATTTTATGTATTATGTATAATGATAATTCGCTATCTTGAGGATAGGGACCAAGTCTAAACATGAAGTTTATTTATGTTTCATATACCCAATATACATAGCCTGAAAGCAATTTTATACAGTATTTTTAACAATTTTGTGCATGAATCCAAGTTGTGTTCAATTAAGTGTATAATTTCCCACTTATGGTATCATATGGTGCTCAAAAAGTTTTGAATTTTGGAGAATTTCAGATTTCAGTTGGGATGC